CTGAAGAAAAGCAGAGCAGGGTAGTGGGATGAGCAATAGTGACGCTTCAGACTTCCCGAAGGGCCTTTCTGAGAGATGGCATATGAATAGGACCCTGGAAGACGTCAAGAGAAGGGGCCATGGCTGTGATCTGAGGGAAGGGCTTTTCAGATAGAGGGTACAGCCCATGCAAAGGCCCTGGGGCAGGACGGTGCCTGGCAAATTGAAGGAACAGCTGGGAGGCCTGTGTGGTTGGAGCAGAGTGAGTGAGGGGGAGACAGGGAGGAGGTGAGGGAAGAAGTGATGGGGGCATGTCAAGCAGAGTCTTGTGGGCCACTGGGAGGACTTGGGGTTTTATCGTGAGAGAGGTGGGCTCCCTAGAAGGCTGTGGGCAGAGTAGGGATGGGACCTGAATCAGTTGCTCACAGGTGCCCTCTGGTGGCTGTTACAGGGAGGACAAATCAGGGAAGAGAGATGCAGAACCTGGCCTTGGTGCTCACAGGCGTCCTCTGGTGGCTGATCTGGGGGGGGGGTGCAGACTGAGGAAAGGAGATGCAGGATTTGACTCAGGTGCTCACATGCGCCCTCTCGTGATAGTTTTGGCGAGGATGGACAGGGAGAAGGGTGATGTAGGTCCTGACTTGGATGCTCATAGGCGCCCTCTGGTGGCTGTTGCAGAGGGGAGACAGATGGGAAAGGAGATGCAGAACTCGGGTGTTCACAGTCGCCTTCTGGTGACCCTTACGGCGAGGACAGACGGGGGAGGATCATGGTAGGACATGACTCGGGTGCTCACAGGCACTCTCTGGTGGCCGGGTTGGGGAGGGTAGACTGGGGAACGGTGATGTAGGACATGACCTATGTGCTCACAAGCGCCCTCTGGTGGCCGCTGCAGGGAGGACAGATCAGGGAAGGGAGACGCAGGACCTGATCTGTGTGCTCACAGCGCCCTCTGGTGGCCTCTGTGGGAAGAACAGACTATGGGTGGTGAGAACGGGAGCTGGAGGACCAGAGTGGAGCGGACTGCACTGGTCCAAGTGGAAATCAGTGGGGCTGGACCAAATGAAGGCAGAGGAGGGAAGCAGCATTTGGGAGGTCAGTGTGCAAAGGGAGCCTGGTTGAGGCTGCAGACGCACCTGGACATCATCTGTACGCCATATCCTTCATGTTAGGCTGGGGCAGCTCGAGTCCGTTCTCTTGTTGTCCCACCCATGCGCACGTGCAGGCTCTTCTTCGCATCTTCCCGGAGAAGGTCCTGTCATCATCTCGGTTCTAAATGGGAACCGGGGCAAAGAGCAGTCAGCCCTTGCCTTGACGGTAGGCCAGCACCTCTCGGGTCTCAGGCACCAGCTGTGACCTGTCTAGCCAGGTGGGGGAAGGTGCAAAATGAAAACGCAGGGCTCTCGTTTGAAAAATAGGAGAATTTTAAGACCAAAAACCCTTCTGAGCCCAGGTCCTACGTTCACGAAGCTGGTTGTGCCAGCCGGTGATGGACCCTTGGGCTGTTTCCACATTTAGGCTAGTGTGAACAGTGCTGCTGTGAACATGGGTGTGCAAATAACTGTCTGAGTTCGTGCTTTCCACTCTTTCAAATACATACCCAGAGGTGGAATTGCTGAATGGAGACTTTTTTTGTCTTATCCAAATAAATGACTCATCAGTTAATAAAAGGAGGGGGATGGACCTTTGTATCCCAGCTTTATGCTACACTGGGGTGGGGTGGGTGTGACCTTGGGTGTGGGTTAGGGCAAGGTCCAGAGAGGCACGCTGCTGTGGCCCTCAGTGGCCAATAATCCCATCAGCTGAGGAGTGGGAGGTACTTTGACACTGTAAATGTCCTATTTCTCATTAAACAGAAGGGCCATTTTTAATAACAAGCTTAGAGGAGTGCATCTTTTCTGAATAAAGGAGTCTTTGGATTGGAATAAATTTAGCTCTACAAAAACTCACCAGAGCTAGTGGGGGTGTGAATTAGTGCATGCACTCTGGCAAAAGTAGCGAATATCTGGGGATACCTGATAACCCAGCACTTCCACAATTGGGTATTTATCCACAGAATTTCACATATGGTCACCAAAAGGCATGAACCAAATGTCCATAGCTGCCCTACTCATTACAACCCCCAAATGAAACTTAACTAAGTGCCCATCAACAGCAGAATGGATGACTACCACAGCATGGTGACTATAGGTAGTAATACTGTGCTGTACATTGGAAAGTTGCTAAGAGAGTAGATCTTAAAAGTTCTCATTACAAGAAAAATATTGTAACTGTGTGTGGTCTTGGATATTAACCAGATTTATCATGGTGATTATTTCACAATATATACAAATATCAAGTTATTGTGTATACCTGAAACTAATGTTATATGTCAATCTTTTACAAAAACAAATAGAAAACACTGATAAGAAAAAATAAAGAATGGATGATTCAATGATGGGATAGTCACCCAATGGAATCATCTATGGCAATGAGAATTAAAGAACTACAACCACATGCACCAATGTGGATTTATTGCACAAACATAATGAGTGATACACAGAAACCAAACACACCAAAATTTATCATGTGCAATTACATTTATAGCAAGTTCAAAAATGGCAAAAATTAAATATGAATTTTAGGGTTGCTTAATTCAGTTTTAAATTTATAAAGAAAAGCAAGGAAGTAAAAAGGTACATTATATAAAAGAATCAATTCACTAAGAAGACATAATGAATGCATGAAATAGATGAAGTAAAATATGATAGGACTGAAAGAAGAAATAGACAAATGTACAATTATCTTTCAACACCCCTCTCAGCAATTGATAGGATGAGCTGACAGAATATTAGCAAGAATATAGAGTACACCATCAACCAAACACACAAACATGATGAAATTATTTTGGGCAAAATTCAATGGAGAAAGGACAGTCTTTTCAACAAAGGGTGCTAGAACAAGTGGATAGCCACATGCAAAAAAAGAAAGAAAAAAAAAACTTGTACAAAAATTAACTCCAAATGGATCACAGATCTAAAAATGTAAAATATAAAACAATAAAACTCCCAGAAGAAAACATCTTTGCGGCCTTGGGTTTGGCAAAGAGTTACTAGATAAAGCGCCAAAAGCATGATCCATAAAGGAAAAAAATTGAGAAATTGAACATCATCAAAATTAAAATTTTTTGCTCCACAAAGTATACAGTATTGAGGATGAAAAGCTGAACCACAGACTGGGAGAGAATATTTGCAAAGCATATACCCAGTAAAGGACTTGTATCCAGAATATATAAAGAATTCTCCAGGGCTGGCCGAGTGGCTCAGTTGGTTAAGAGCGTGAGCTCTGAGCAACAGGGTCACTGGTTCAATTCCCACATGGGCCAGTGAGCTGCGCCCAAGCTGAGCTGCCGCTGAGATGGTTAGAGCGCGTGGTCTTAGCTGCAAGGTTGCTGGTTCAACTCCTACATGGGATGGTGGGCTGCGCCCACCCACAACTAAGATTGAACACGGCACCTTGAGCTGAGTATCTGCGAGCTGCTGATGGGCAGCCAGATGGCTCAGTGTGCAACATTACAGGTTCAACTCCAGTGTGGGATGGTTGGACTACACCCACCTGCAACTAGATTGAAAGTGGAGACTGGATTTGGAGCTGAGCTTGCGCCCTTCACAACTAAGATTGAAGGACAACAACTTGACTTGGAGCTGATGGATCCTGGAAAAACACAATGTTCCCCTTCCCCAGTTCCCCAACACTGTTCTCCTCCCCCAATTCCCCAATTAAAAAAAGAAAGAATTCTCCAAACACAATAATAAGAAAACAACTCACTAAAAGAAATGGTAAAATTTGGACAGACACTTCGCTGATGAAGATATGGATGACACATAAACACACGAAAAGGCAGCCAACATCATTAGTCAATCTGGAAGGTGTAGATTAAACCCACAATAAGATACCATTACCTATGCTGTCGAATGGCTAAGATAAAAACCATAGACAATACCAAATGCAGGAAGCTGGAATGCTCAGATATCAGTGGTGGCGATGCAAAATGGTCCAGCCACTTTGGGAAGACTGTCAGGTTTTTACCAAGTTAAACACACCGTTATCCTAGGACCCAATGATCCCACTTGTAGGAATTTATCCGAGAGACCTGAACATGTGTGTTTACAGCAGCACTAAACTGCAGACAATCCAAATGTCCTTCTGTGGATGAAGGATGATGCACGCACACAACAGGAAACTACTCAGCAGTCGAAAGGGATGGGCTCCTGACACACCCAGCTTCATAGACGAATCTCACATGCCAAGTGAAAGAAGCCAGTTTCCAAAGCCACATCATGTATGATTCCATTAATATGACATTCTCAAAAAGATTTAAAAATCGTAGCAACAAAGAGTGAATCAGTGCTTTCCAGGGGCTAGGAGTGGGGCTATGGTCTGACATTATAAGGGAGGGAGATTTTTTTCAGGGGAGGGGACTATATTCTGTCAACTGTTTCACTGATAATTTACTTGACTCTATATGTGTTAAAACTCATAGAACCAAATACCAAAGAAAGTGAAGACAATGCCACATACATTTAAAAACTGAAAAACAAAATAAAGCTTATTGCCAAAAAGTACCCCCCCAAACAGAAATACCATAGAAGTCAGAGCAGTGGTGACCACGGGGTGGAAGGAGAAGGTTCCTATTGGGGGGGGGGGTATCTGGAGACCCTCATAGTGTTGATGATGTCCTTCGTCTTGGCCTGGCTGGGGATCACATGGGTGGGTGTTGCTTACAGAAGAATTGATTAGGTTATATATTCATGTTTTATACGTGTGTTTTTTTTTTTCTCTCTCTCCCTCTCTGTTTCAAACATGCACACAAATTCACCCTGGTACTCCCCAATGAACTAATACATGACAAAGGTCCCCACCGGCACCTGACACGTGAAAAAGAACCAGTTCGCTTTTGGGGGAAACTAGAAGGGAGATTTGTTTTGAAGTTGGAGAAATTCACAGAAGCCAGGCCCTGGCAGAGATCAAGGGGGCTGGGCATTTTTCTGAGGTCGGTGGGAGCCCCAGAAGGTGTTAGACCAGGGCCTGACACCCAGTTTTGTGCCACGCTGGGGCTGGTGCCTTTTGAGAATGGCATCAGGGAGATACCGGGAGGGGACAGCTGCTGTTTTGCCAGGCCTCTGCACTTCCTGTCCTTAGCTCTCTGGTCTGTGACTCAGGTTTTGCCAATCTGGTTATTTCTGTTGTGCCCTGTCCTCTCAGCCCTGCTCAGCTCAGACAGATTTCTGCTTTTCTTCACCAGCCAGCAGTGGGAAGTCACCCCTACCTCCTCAGGGCCATCCTGCTGGAGGCCGGAAGGTGGGTGGGCAGGGCAGGGCCTGCTGCCCCAGTGACCTGATGAGCCCCTATCAAACCTCCCATCTGCCGTTGGTCATGATTCAACAGCAGAGAAAACCACACCTCTGCACCTACACGCTGGCTGGGGTGTGGGGGAGGGGTGACCCCAGGCACTCACTCACCCTGAGTTTTGATGGTGCTATCTGTGAGGGGTCCAGAACCCTGTATTATGTATATCTGGGGGTGGAGGGGAGCGGTGTTCCAGAGCTTTCTAGAACTTTCAAGACCTTCTTGAAAGGGATTCTGCACCCAGACACGGCCAAGATCTGCTGCTAGATTGGGGACAGCTTGTGACCCCCCTCTGGCTGTGAGAGTCTAGGAAGCAGCCACACGTTCACCCCCTGCGTCCCCGTCCAACTCTGAGGGTCCTGAGAGCTAAGGGGGTCAGGGCAGGGGCCCTGGACCAGTGGGGTCAACTCCCAGGGTCCTCTTGTGCCCAGGCTCCCTGTCTTCTCTTGGTCTCAAATGTCATCTGGTCAGTGTGGCCTTCTGTGACTTTACACAGGAAGTCACAGCCCAAGTTCCCCAACATCTCCCAGCTCCCTTCGCCACTTCATTTTTCGCTCAGAACTTATCACCATCCCAACAGTCTTGAATATTTTATTATTATTATTATTTACTTTTTCTGTTTTTGCATATTTAAAAAAATGTCTTTCCTTACCTGTCTCTCTAACTAGAATATTAGGTAGAGGGGTCAGGGACTTTGTCATTTTGTTCCTTGCGATGCCTAGATGCCTCGCACACAGTAGGTGCTCAATCAATGTTTGCAGGGAGAATGAATGGCCCCTCCCCAAAGCTGCCTGGTCATCATTTAGACCCTGGGGCGCACTGGGTAAGATCCGGCTCCAGGCTCTGTCTGGTACCAGGGGCAAATCGCATCATGATGTGTGCCTCAGTTTACTCATCTACATGGGGGTGATCGCAGTAACTCTGGGGCGCTGTGTATGCGAAACAAGTCCACACTCTAACGCACTTCAAATGGTAGGTGCCGCCGGGCCTTCGCTGTAGGTGCTCTGAGGCCTGCGGGGGAGGGGTTGGGGGTGGGCCTGAGGACAGCCCGGGGCGGGACCCGAGGCGCAGGGAGGAGGCCGTGCACCCGTTCTCCAAAATGCGGAAGGAGGGCCCAGCGCACTGCCGCACCCGGACCGCGCTGGGCCCTTCCCCGAGGCCGCCCCGCCCTCCCCGAGGGCGCCCACCGCCCCTCCTCGCCGTCACCGTCAACCTGTTTGGCAGGGCCCGGCAGGTCTGGCGATGGGCGGGGCGCCCTGAGCCTCCGCACCCCTCTCCCCCTCCTCCCCACGAACCCGTCCTGTGCCTGTACTCAGGCCTCGCCGAGCTGGGCCAACCGGGTGTCCCAGGCCGGGAAGTCGGGGGTCCCCGGGGTGGGGGGGTTGATCCCCAAGAAGAGGGAGGCCCCTTCACGCCCTGCTGGCAGGAGCCCTCCCCGGAGCCTGCGGGGTGGGGGTGCCCTCCCCGGGGGGCCGGGGCCATGCCTCCTTGTGCCCTCTGAGGCCCCCACACCATGGCCCGCTCGCTGACCTGGCGCTGCTGCCCCTGGTGCCTGACGGAGGATGAGAAGACTGCCGCCCGGATCGACCAGGAGATCAACAAGATCCTCCTGGAACAGAAGAAGCGGGACCGCGGCGAGCTGAAGCTGTTGCTGCTGGGTGAGCCCAGGGCCCAGCCGGGTGGGCAGAGGGGCGAGATCAGGAGGAGTGGGTCCTCGCCTCCACCGGCCAGGACACCCTGGCAACCCATTTGCCGGATAAGAAGACCGAGGTGCAGAGAAGCCCAGTCCTAGTCCAAAGGTGCACATAATGGGCCTGGCCACCTTGCAGGGCATCTGCAAGAATGGAGGTGGCCCAGTGGGCCTGGCTCCAGCCTGGCAGGCCCAGCACGCCCGACCGGCTGTGTGTTATGGGAAGGGAACTATGAGCTCAGGAGCCCTGGCCTCTCCCTCCATCTCCAGACAGCCCTCCTGTTCCTCTCCCTACATCACTGGCCAGTGGTGGAGGGCTTAACCTGGGTTCTGGAGGTTTATTAGCATTAGTCCTGTGGGCAGAGCATTGCCAACAGGCTCTGATTGACTGATTGATTGATTGACTGACTGATTGATTCATTCATTCATTCAAGATGTATTGAGTAGCTCCTGGGGACACAGCAGCAAAGGAGATGGAAATTGTCCTTGCCTCTTCTTCTGGTGAGGGAGACAGACATTAAGCCTGTAAACTAATAAGCAGATAAAATAATTTCTGGCAGCTAGAAGATTGAGGAGGAAAATTAAACAGGGTGAGGGAGTGGGAGCTGACTCAAAGGATGGTGTGGATTGTGACGCTCTGAGATTGTGACCTCTGAAACCTCAAGTGTCATCGCCCACATGTGTCCACTGCCCCAATCACTTTGCCCTGTGTTTGGCTCCAGGGATACTGGCCTTGGAAGCTTGCCCACGACCATCTGAGCCCTGGGTGGGGGCAGGGGAAGGTCCCAGGTGTCCTGAAGTCACATCTGCCTGGCCCAGGGCAGAGAGGCTGGTCATCTGTGTAGTCACCTCTCTTTTCCCTTGCTTGGTGGAAAGCCCTGAGGAGTGGAGAGAGGAAAGAGAACAGGAGCACAGGACCCCCAGGAGCTGCACCTTAATTGAGGGCCTTTCCAACTTCTGACATTGCTTCCTCTTGCTGAACTAGGTAAAAGAATTCCTCCCCCCATTTGTTTCTCCAAGGAGATCTGGCATGGCATAAATCCAAACTCTGGCCTCCCCTTGACCTCTCAGATCCCAGCTCCTTCTACTGGCTGTAATTTTTCAGTGGCAGCCACCTGGTTTCCTTGCTCTTCATTGAATATTTCATGTTTTCCTGAAACGTTTGGTAATGTCATCAGTGAAACTGAGCCTAGAAGCTTTTTGATTAAGAATTTAATTGCTTTAATAGCTATCTCTGTTTGATTTCTTTAATAGATAGGCTATTATTACATTAATATATGTGACATATTAATATATTACTTATTATTTTTAATAAATAGGCCTATTTAAGCTATCTATTTCTTCTTGAGTGAGCTTTGGTTATTGATTTATTTCAAAGAATTTGTCTTTGCAGTTGTCAAATTTATGGGCATAATGTTGTTTATAACGTTTCTTTGTCATCCTTTTTGTGTCTATAGGATCTGTAGTGATGTTCCCTCTCCCATTCTTTATCTTCAGTCCTTTTTCTTCATCCATCAAGGTAGAGGTTTATTAATGTTAGTGATCTTTCCTTACACATTAAACCTCCTTTATCGTGTGTGCCTCAGTACCTTTGCACTTGCCATTATCTCTGCTAAGAGTTCTTAGTGTCACCCAAGACTTTGCATGGCTGGCACTCTCACGCAAGGCAGGTCTCAGTTCAAGTGTCACCTCCTCGGAGAAGTTTTCCCTGAATTCCCTGGCTGCAAGACAGGCCCATCCTTCTTCGTCCTCTGCTCAATTTTTCTTCATAGCACTCACTTACATTCTCTTAGGTGTTTACTTGTTTATTGTCTGTCTCTCTAGTTATATAGTAAACAATGCAAGGGTGGGGGCCATGTCTGTCTTATTCACGCCTGTGTTCCCAGCATCTAGCCCAGGAGTACAAGGAACCTCACATATAGTAGATGCCCAGTGCATGCATTATGAATGAATGAATGACTCAATCCTGACTCAAGGGCAATTTGCCCCAGAGCTGTACCATATCTTCCTGGAGCTGGGAAGGTCCCTTGCCCCACATCACTCCGACCACTGCACAGTCAGCCCCAAATCAGGAAGCCCTATCTGCTTGTGTGGGGAAGGGAGGGGGAGAGAGGAGGTTGTCTGTGTACCCACGCACTGATGGTGGCCCTGTGGACAGCGCTATGGACTGGTTTTGATCACCCCCATCCCAGCCCTGAGCGCCACCTCCACACTTCACTGCCTTCTTGAAAACAGGAATTGAATACAAAGTAATTTTTTCCTGGAGATTTGCTGATCCTTTTCAAGAAGAAGGACAAGGGGCCAGGGGTGTCTGAACCTGACAGGAAATGATTACCATGTTGGGGAGGGGGAAAAGTCAGAATGAAGCCAGCTTTGTCCATAGCACCTGAGGTAGGGGCTGCTTGTAACCCCAGGTGGGGAAACCAAGGCCCAGAGAGGTGAAATGACTTGCTCAAGGTCACACAGCCAGGATTGGAGCCTAGCATTCCAGTTCCAAGCCCGTGTGCTTGACCACCCTGTTATCTTGTCTAGGGAGAGAAAAACCACAGAACTTCCATGACAGATGGGGAAACTGAGGCCCAGGGAGGCAACAGGAGTGGCCTGGGTTAGTGGCCAGTCGGAGACAGAGCTGGATATAGAAGCTGAGCCACCTGCCTTCCTATGCCTGGCTGCCCATCCTGGCTCCTGTGCCCCACAAGCCCTGTTTCCCGGGATGGGTGGGGGGCTGGCGCTGCCATCTCCATGGCAGGAGCTGCACGCACGCTGTCTCATGATGCCCAGGGCTTGGCCCAGCTCCTCTAGGCTCTGCTGTGTTCCACTTCCTCATTCAGCCCCAGGAGGAAGTATCACTTCCTGTCTGGGCTGAGAGGCCCCTGCCAAGTAGACACAGCTCTCCCCGCAGCAGCCCCCAGCCCTATATGTGGCGGGATAGGATGGTTCCTGAAGCAGACCAGGAGTGGGGATGGGGGAGGAGCTGGGGAGTCTCCAGGCTCCTTAGTGGCTTCAGGACAGGCATGGGCTGCAAAGAGGGGGTTCCACCGGTGGAGTTATTCAGAATTCATGTTTTGACCCATCATAAGTCAAATAATCCGTGCTTGTGAGTGGAGGCCAGGATTTTTTCTCTCTCTAATAAAACAGATGAGAAGAGAAAAAGAATCAGTGCATTGCAACCGAGTTAACTGTTGCCTCCTGAGACCTTTGTCTGTTCTCTACGCCTCTGGGAAAACCCAGGGTCTGAGAGTTGGAAAGCAACCAAGAAGAAGGTCAAAGTGTACAGTCCCCTGCTATAGGTCTCAGTGCCGTCTCTGGCAGCACCCAGAGGAACGGTCCAGCTTCTAAGCATCTGTAGAAACATCACATTAACTGATATTTGATGACGCCTGACCCAGCCGACTGGCCATGTCCCATTCTGTGGGTAAAGGACCCATAAGGGCTTGACTTTAGTCCTCTGCTTCTCCACTAGTGTGTGACCCTGGGAAAGGCACACCACCTCTCTGAGCTCCTTGTCTCCTCTAAATAGGAAAACAGCAGGAATCTTATGAGGACTGGCTGAGGACACGCACAGAGTACCTGGGCCCTGGTCCTGGCAGATGCCAAAAGTTAAATCACACTTGCTGTGCTGCTGCTGATAGTGATTGTTATTATCATTGTTGTTGTTGCTATTGTTTAGGCAGCATATGGGGAACTTCCCCATATGACAAATAAAAAGCCCATGAGCGGGCCAGCCGAGTGGTGCGTTGGTTAAGAGCTGGCTTGGGACGCCAGAGGGCCCCGGTTCAGATCCCACATATGAGGGCCAGTGACACTGCCCTCTACAGCTAAGATGCTGAACAACAGCTCAACCTGGAGCTGGGCTGCCGTGAGTCACCGTCGTGGTGTAGGCTGCAACCCCTGCTGCAACGGGCTACCGTGTGTAGCCAGCAGGCAGCGTGAGCGGCCCTCAAGCCGCTGTGAGCGGCCCTCAAGCCGCCGTGAGCGGCCGTCCAGAAGCCGGCGACTGATCTGCCTCGCCTGGGAAGAGCGCAATGATGGTGCCAACTTGGGCCAGTGAATCAACGTCCTCCACAACTAGACTGAAGAACAAAAAGACAGCAACTTGTCTGTTCCCCTCCCCCCAATTCCCCAATAAAAATCTTAAAAAAAAAAAAAAGCCCATGAGCCCTGGGCTCATATAGAACTGGGTTTGAGTCCCAGATTGGCCACTTGCCAGCTGCATGACCCAAGGCACTCTCCTCAACTGATCTGGGACTCCCGTTTCCTCACCTGAAAAGTGGGGCCAAGAGCCGTCTCTCTTGCCCTGAGGCTCAGGTCAGACGGTGCTTCACGCTTTCAGCTCTCAATGCACACAGGCTCAGCCACCTCTGCTATCTCCTAACCGCTAAACCTTCAAAGCCTGGCCAGTCTCCTTAAGTTTGTCAGTGGGAAGTGAGGCTGTGGGTTTGCATTGGTGACTGTGCCATTCAGATGTTTCTGGAATATTCAGTGAGCTTAACCTGTCCCCTTCCTAAAATCCAAGAAATTTCAGGACCTGAGACACATATGGCCCCACATTGGAAAGCTTCGGATTGTGGACCTATGGGGTGCTTTTTTTTTTTTTTCTTTTAGCTGAGCCATCCTGCCAGGCAGCTCAGCGGCAGCTCAGCTCAGGCCGGGCACCGAACCACTGTTGCTCAGAGCTCACACTCTTGAGCAAGCTGTTAATCAACTGAGCCACTCGGCCGGCCCAAGGGTGCTTTTTTTTTTAAGGAAACTTTTTATTTGGGAATAATTTTAGATGTACAGAGAAGTTGTAAAGGTAGTACACAGAGTCGCCCCACTCCTGAGCAGCTTTCCTTCATGTCCACATCTTGTAGAGCCTGGTGAGATTGTCACAGCTGAGAAATTAACTTGGGACCCTTCCTCTTACATCACTGTTAACTAAACTCCAGACAGTGGATTTCACTATGTTTTCCACAAAGGCTGGTTTTTTTTAAAGATTTTTATTGGGGAATTGGGGGGTTGGGAACAGTGCTGGGGAATTGGGGGAAGGGGAACAGACAAGTTGCTGTCGTTTTGTTCTTCAGTCTAGCTGTGGAGGAAATTGCTTCACTGGCCCAAGTTGGCACCATCATTGCGCTCTTCCCGGCGAGGCAGATCAGTTGCCGGCTTCTGGACAGCCGCTCACTGCGGCTGCTGACCGCTCACGCTGGCTGCTGGCTACATACGGTAGCCCATGGCAACCCACTGCCACAGGGGCTGCAGCCTACGCCGTCGCCGGCGACTCACAGCAGCCCAGCTCCAGGTTGAGCTGTTATTCAGCATCTTAGCTGTGGAGGGCAGTGTCACTGGCCCTCATATGTGGGATCCGAGCCGGGGCCCTACTGGCATCCCAAGCCAGTTCTTAACCATCGCGCCACTCGGCTGGCCCCACACAAAGGCTGTTTTTCTGTCCCAGTATCCAATCCAGCATCTCACACTGCAGTTAAGGTTGTTTTTGTGAAATACTTTCTTAGCTTTTTTTTTTTTTTTAAAGATGTTATTGGGGAATTGGAGAAGGGAAACATTGTGTTTTTCCAGGACCCATCAGCTCCAAGTCAAGTTATTGTCCTTCAATCTTAGTTGTGGAGGGCACAAGCTCAGCTCCAAGTCCGGTCACTGCTTTCAATCTATGATAGTTTCGGGGGGGTGGGTAGCCCACCATCCCATACGGGAGTCAAACTGGCAACCTTGTTGTTACGCTCTCACCAGCTGAGCCACCTGGCTGCCCGTTGGCAGCTCAGCGGCAGCTCAGCTCGGGTGCAGCTCACTAGCCCATGTGGGAATCAAACCGGCGACCCTGTTGCTCAGAGCTTGAGCTCTTAACCCACTGCACCACCTGGCTGGCCCCTTAGCTTATTTTGCAATACTTTCAGACTTACAGAAAAGTTGCACCTGGATTCTTCTGCAAATATTAACATTTTACCATATTTCCTTTATTCTTCTCCCCACCAAATATATACACACATGTATATGTTATATGTAAGTATGTGTGTACATACTATTAATTTATTTAATGCATGATTATAGTGATAATTTATTTACTATACATTTATGTATTTAATACATACATGTTCATTTTTTTTGGACTGTTTGAGAGTAAGTTGCAGACCTGATGCCTTTTTACTCCTAAATACTTCTGTGGGTTTGAGTGACACTAAAAAACAAAGACCCCCAGGACCATGACCAAAAGCAGGCGATAAACATGATGGAATACCGTCAGTTGAGGCACACCTGACTCCCCTCCCACCCGCTTTCCCAATTTCCTTCCTAATGTCCTTTACTAAGCATCTCTTTTTCTTGGACCTCGACTCCGGTGGACTTATAACACCTGGAGCCACCACAGATCTGCCCTCCTTGCCCTCAGATGTGCTGGGGTAGGCAGGGTACAGGGAGGCCCTGGGCGTGTTGCAAGATGGCATCCCCTTCTCTCTGCTCCCTGCACTCTCCACCCCTCCTCCCTGCTCCCCTCTCTCTGCCCCCGTTTCCTCTTTCTGGGCTTCGACTAGGCCACCCCTTCCCTTTTTGCTGCTTTTCCAGTTCCTCCTGCACCAGTCCTCACTCCTGTCCTTGGAAAACCCCCGCCCTTGTCCCCAGGAGCCAGGCCAGGTGACCAGATGTTGGAGGAGCCTCGCGGCCTCACTTCCCATGGGGCTATCACACCCATTTTACAGACAGAAAACAAAGGCACTGAGAGGGGGAGATTTCGGAGCTCAGAGAGCAGGGAGATGAACCTTGGTCTTTAAGTTTCTGGTCCTGGGCTCTTGAAGATTCCAGGATTGTTATCATGAACCCAGGGCTGGCTTTGTGTGTGCATGCAACTGGGGAGTCCCCTAGTGCTTCTCCCTCAGAAGGGCCCTGTAGTTTCATGTTGCATTTGGCTCAGCCAATTCTGCAGCTGACTATGCAAGGACCCCTCTTCCTGCTGTGGTCCATCAGCAAGGCTGTGGTGATTCTGTCTCCCAAATATCTCACGAATATGTCCCCATCTCCTCAGCTCTTGGGCGCACCACATCCTCTCCCACCTGGATCAGTGCAATCGCCTGTGCCCTTGCCCACCCCCACTCCCGTCTGTCTTCCCTGAAGCAGTCACCAGAGGGCGCCTGTGAGCACCTGAGTCAGGTCCAGCCCCTTCTCCACCCACAATCCTCTAGGGCTCCCACTTCCCTGGGGTGAAAGCTCAAGTCCTCCCCACAAGGCCCTGCACTACCTGCCCCCATCTCCTCCCTGCCCTCACCTTCTCCCTCCCTCTTCCTCACTTACTCTACTCCAACCACATGGGCCTCCTCATTGTCCAACACCCCAGGCACTATCCTGCCCCAGGACCTTTGCACAGTCTGTGCCCTCTGCATGGTATATCCTTTCTCCAAGTCTTGGCATAAGAGCAACCTTCCCAGCCTTTGAATCTCAACCTCACAAATCACCTCCACCAAGGGGGACTTCCTTGACACTCAGCTATAGTAGTCACCTAAACACTCTTTATCCTATTTTATTTCCTTCATTAAAGTTTCTCTATCTGAAATTATTATAGTAAATTATAGTAATTATAATTATGGCAAACACTAATACTACTAATAATAGTGACCATTAATGTAGCTTTTACTATGTCTAGGCATGCTCTAAGCCAGGGTCCACAAACTTTTCCTGTAAAGGGCCAGATAGTAAATATTTTCAGTTTTGTGGGCAGAGTGTTTCTGTCTGAGTACTCCACTCTGCCACTGTAGTGAGAAAACAGTCATGGACAATTGTACACAAATGGGTGTGGCAGTGTGCCAATAAAACTTTATTGACAGACACTGAAACCCGAATTTTATATAATTTTCATGTGTCATAAACCAATCTCCTTTTGATTCCTCTCAACCATTTAAAAATGTAAAAACCGGAACCATGAAAAGTATTAGAAATGGAAACACCATACAAACTGTAAAATCTCTCTGGCCCTGCAAAAACAGGCAGCGGCCTGGGTTTGGTTGGAGGGCAGTATAATAGTTTGCGATCCCCTACTAGGAGCACCTCACAATGAGCTCACCCTCATGTCGATCTAGCAGGCAGGGCCTATCGTGCTCCACGGTTTACAGGTGGGGAGATTGAGTCACAGGGTGGTGAAGACACTCCCTTGCCCAGGGTCCCAGAGTGTGGCCCTGGCTGAGCAGGGACTTGAACCCAGAGGCCCGGGTTGAGATTGAGTGATCGTGTGGCCCTGCAGGCCCGGGTGAGAGCGGGAAGAGCACGTTCATCAAGCAGATGCGCATCATCCACGGGGCTGGCTACTCGGAGGACGACCGCAAGGGCTTCCGGCCGCTGGTCTACCAGAACATCTTCGTGTCCATGCGGGCCATGATCGAGGCCATGGACTGGCTGCAGATCCCCTTCAGCAGGCCGGAGAATAAGGTGAGTGTACAGGGGCTGCCATGTGGGTGCCACGCTGGGGGGTCGGGTCTCTTAGGACGCTGAGGTCTAGGCCATGTTTCCTGAGACCCCCAGGGCATAGCTGTGTCCCCTTGGACCCCCAAGTCATTGTTAAGAACAACGCCCCCCCCAGAGGTTTCCTGGGATCCTCCTGTGCACTCCAGGCAGCTCCAACCCAGCATGCTCCCCACTTTGTCCCCCCATGCACCTCCAAGGCTCCACCCTTGCACTCCATGATGTTAAGTGAGAGTGGGAGTCCTGAGTCAGTGCTTGTTCCCTTGTAGAGATATTAATACCATGGACCGATTACTGCTGGGAGGGGCTGCAGTAAATTTTTTTTTAAAAGATTTTTAATGGGGAATTGGGGGGATGGGAACAGTGCTGGGGACTTGGGTGAGGGGGAACAGACAAGTTGCTGTCATTTTGTTCTTCAGTCTAGTTGTGGAGGACGTTGCTTCACCGGCCCAAGTTGGCACCATCATTGCGCTCTTCCCGGGCGAGGCAGATCAGTCGCCGGCTTCTGGACGGCCGCTCACTGCGGCTGCTGGCCGCTCACGCTGGCTGCTGGCTACATACGGTAGCCCATGGCAACCCACTGCCACAGGAGCTGCAGCCTACGCCGTCGCCGGCGACTCATGGCAACCAAGCTCCAGGTTGAGTTGTTGTTCAGCATCTTAGCTGTAGAAGGCAGTGTCACTGGCCCTCATATGTGGGATCCGAACCGAGGCCCTCTGGTGTCCCAGGCCAGTTCTTAACCATCGCGCCACTCGGCCGGCCCTGAAGTAAATTTTTAAAAAATTTTTTGTTTATTATGGTAAGAATACTCAACATGAGATCTACCCTCTTAAATTTTAAGTACATAATACGATATTGTTAACTGGAGGCAGGATGTTGTGCAGCAGAGTTCTAGAACTAGCCATCCAATGGAAGGGAAACTCTCTGCCCATTGAATAGCAACTACAGATGTCCCCCACCCCCAATGCGTTCTGCTCTGTTCCCTGGACTCTACCTATTCTGGATGCCTCCTGTAAGTGGGGTCATGCAGTATTTGTCCTCCTGTTTCTGGCTTGTCTCACTTAACATGATGTCCTCAGGGTTCATCCACTTTGTTGACTATTGCAGAATTTCCTTCTTTCTAGAGGCCTACCACTGTTCCATTGTCTAGATGGACCACATTTTCTTTATCCATTCATCTGTCCATGGATATTTGTGTTGTTTCTACCTGTTGGCTGTTGAGACTAGTGCTGCAAGGAGCATGGGAGTGTTCATATCTTTTCCAGATCCTGATTTCATTTTTCTTTTTGATAAACACCCAGAAATAGAATTGCTGAATCATATGGTGATTTTATTTTTAATTTTTTGAGGAACCACCATACTGTTTTCCACAATACTACACCATTTTGCAATCCCACCAACGGTGCACAAGGGTTCCAATTTCTCCACATCCTCACCAACACTTGCTGTTTTTTGTTTGCTTGTTTCTTATAATAGCCATCCTCACAAGTGTGAGGTCACATCATCTTTCTAAAATCTGAAAGCTTCTGGTTTGTGAATCTGAGCTGGTCCAAGGACTTTGGAAGAGTGATTAGGAGTGGGTGGTTTCTACCTCATGGAACTGATATAAGAATACAATAAATTAAAAGTGCCCAGGGCTGGCTGAGTGGTGCGTTGTTTAGGAGCTGGCTTGGGACGCCGGCTCTGAGTAGCAGGGTCCGGGTTCGGATCCCACATGAGGGCCAGTGAAACTGCCCTCTACAGCTAAGATGGTGAGTGGCAGCTCGACCTGGAGCTGGGCTGCCGTGAGTCACCGGCGATGGCGTGGGCTGCCAAGAGCCCACCGTGAGTGGCCGTCCAGAGGCCAGCGACCGATCTGCCTCACCCGGGAAGAGCGCAATGATCACAATATCAACATGGGCCAGTGAAGCGACGTCCTCCACAACTAGACTGAAGAGCAAAAAGGACAGCAGCTTGTCTATTCCCCTTCCTCGATTCCCCAACGCTGTTCCCCTCCCTTAATTCCCCAATAAATAAATTTAGAAAGTGCCCAAAGCTCTCAAAACAGTGCCTGGAATGTAACATCATCTCAGTAAGTGTTAACAGGTGATATGATTATTTAATCTTTACAATAACCCCTTTCAGCTATTAACTACCTTTTATAGATGAGAAGGAGGCTCTCCCCTTAAGGACAACCACTATCGCATCGTCCATCGCCATACATGGGCTGCCTGTTTTGTTTTTTTTTAAATTGGGGAACAGTGTGTTTTTCCAGGACCCATCAGCTCCGAGTTGAGTAGTTGTTTCAATCTAGTTGTGGAGAGCGCAGGTCAGCAGCCCATGTGGGGATTGAACCGGCAACCTTGGTGTTGTAAGCACTGTGGTCTAACCAACTGGGCTAACCGTCTGCCTGTCCCTGGTTGCCTGGTTTTTTTTTTTTTGGTGTTTTTTCTTTAAGATTTTATTGGGGAATTGGGGAAGGGGGACAGTGTTGGGGAATTGGGGAAGGGGAGCAGCCAAGTTGTTGTCCTTCAATCTTAGTTGTGGAGGGCACAGCTAGCTCACTTCCAAGTCCAGTCGCCATCCGGCCGCTCATCAGCAGTTCTCAGCCACTCAGCTCAAGATGCAGTGTTCAGTCTTAGCTGTGGGTGGGCATAGCCCACCATCCCATGCAGGAGTCAAATCAGAAACCTTGTTGCTAAGAGCGCACACTCTAACCACTGGGCCACCTGGCCACCTGCCTGCAGTTCAGGTAAGCTCAGCTCAAGGTGCCGTGTTCAATCGTAGTTGTGGGTGGGCGTAGCCCGCCATCCCATGAGGGAGTTGAACCGGCAACCTTGTTGTTAGGAGCAGGTGCTCTCACCAGCTGAGCCATCCTGCCACCCTGTTGGCAGTTCAACAGCAGCTTAGCTCAGGTGCAGCTCACTGGCCCATGTGGGAATCTAACCGGTGACCCTGTTGCTCAGACTTATGCTTTTAACCAACTGAGCCACTTGGCCAGCCCTGGTTGCCTGTTTTTTTACCTCAAATTTTTTGGAGTTTTCCAGAATGTTCTTTTATGTCTGGCTTCTGGTGCTGTAGAGTATGTCTGTGACTCATCCATTTTGGGGGACATAGTTGTGGTTTATTTTCACCATAAGATTATGCCATGGTTTATTTATTTATTCATTCTAATTTTGACATTTGGGTCATCTTTATATATTTTATGCAAATACATATATTTCCATTGGGTGTCTACCTAGTAGATTTGGATGATAAGGGACATGTATGATCAACTTTAGTAGGAGACACCAAACTGTTTTCCAAGTAATTGTAGCAATTCACAGTCCCACCAGCAGTACATGCAGAGTTCCAGTTCCTCCACATCCTTGCCAACACTTACGCTGTTTGTCATTTCATTTGAGACATTCTGTTGGGTGTTTGGTGGTATTTCATTGTGGTTTTGATTTGCATTTCCCTGATTAATAATGAGGTTGTATACCTTTTTATGTTTGTTGGACACTTGGATATTCTTTTTCTGTGAAGCAACTGTTCAAATCTTTTGCCCATTATTTAAATGTTTGTTTTTTACTCACTTAAAAAAGTATAGTTCCTCAGTTTTTTATTTACTGATTTGTAGCAAATTCTTTGTATATGTTGGACATGAGCGCTTTGTTAGTTTCACATCTGTTGTTAGATTTATCCCTAGGTATTTGCTATCTTTTGATTCTACTATAAATGGTATTTAAATTTTAAAAACTTCCCACTAGTTAGTGGTTAGTATAAAGACATACATTTGATTTTTGTTTATTGATTTTGCATCTGGGGACTTTGTTCAGTTCACTGTTTATTCTAATAGTTTATCTCTAGACTATTTTGGATTTTCTACATATAGTCATGTCATTTGTGAATAACCACAGTGTAATTTATTCCTTTCCAAACTGGACACCTTTCATTTATTTTCCCTGGCTGGGACCTCAGTATAGTGTCAATCAGAAATGGCATGAGAGAAAAAAAAAGAGGAAGAAATGACGTGAGCGGACATCTTTGTCTCATTTCTAGTCTCCTGTCTTTTAAGAGCAAAAAACCCCACATTCAGTTCATTCAAGGCACATTAAGGTCTATTCAGAACCTTCACTGAATATAATTTTCACTCTGAATTTCTAGAAGGATGTTTCTCTTAATTTTTGCTCTTAAAATTATTATTCATTTTAATTGTGTGTTTTTTATTTTTTTTGTTGTTTTTAAAGATTTAAAAAAAGATTTTATTGGGGAATTGGGGGAGGGGAATAGCATTGGGCAATCGGGGAAGGGGAACAGACAAGTTGCTGTCCTTTTTATTCTTCAGTCTAGTTGTGGAGGACGTCGCTTCACTGGCCCATGTTGGTATTATCATTATGCTCTTCCTGGGTGAGGCAGATAGGTCACTGGCCACTGAACGGCTGCTCACAGAGGCTCTTGGCAGCTCACGCTGGCTGCCGGCCGTTCACGGTAGCTTACGGGAGCCCACTGCAGCTCCACTGCAGCCTACACCTCGCATTCCACTCATGGCAGCCCAGCTCCAGGTCGAGCTGTTGTTCACCATCTTAGCTGTAGAGGGTGCAGTGTCATGGCCCTAATGTGGGATCCGAACCGGGGTCCTGCTGCTGAGAGCAGGTGTCCCAAGCCAACTCTTAACCAACGCGCCACTCGGCCGGCCCTTGATTGTGTTTTTTAAAACTTTGGAGTTGGGCCGGCCAAGTGGCGCGATGGTTAAGAACTGGCTTGGGAAGCCAGAGGGCTCCGGTTCAGATCCCACATCTGAGGGCCAGTGACACTGCCCTCCACATCTAAGATGCTGAACAACAGCTCAACCTGGAGCTGGGCTGCCGTGAGTGGCCGGCGACAGCGTAGGCTGCAGCCCCTGTGGCAGTGGGTTGCCATGGGCTACCGTATGTAGCCAGCAGCCAGTGTGAGCAGCCATCCAGAAGCCGGAGACTGATCTGCCTCGCCTGGGAAGAGCGCAATGATGGTGCTAACTTGGACCAGTGAAGCAATATCCTCCACAACTAGACTGAAGAACAAAACGACAGCAACTTGTCTGTTCCCCTTCCCCCAATTCCCCAGCACTGTTCCCATCCCCCAGTTCCCCAATAAAAATAAATAAATCTTAAAAATAAATAAATAAATAAATAAAAATAAAATAAAACTTTGGAGTCAATACAGTTTCAGGCTGTGTATGAGCGTGCACTCAGGCTGCCACAATCAAGTGTCACATTCTGGGGGGCTTAAATAACAGAAATTTATTTTTTCACAGTTCTGGACGCTGGAAGTCTGAGATCAAGGTGTCAGCAGGGTTGGTTCCTCCTAAGGTCTCTCTTTTTGGTTTGCAGATGGCTGTCTTCTCCCTGTCTCCTCATGTGGTTTTCCCCCTGTGCATGTTTTTGTCCCAATCTCTTCTTATAAGGATGCCAGTCATATATTGGATCAGGGCCCATCCTAGTGACCTCATTTTAACTTGATCACCTCTGTAAAGACCCCCATCTCCAAATACAAACACATCCTGAGGTCCTGGGGGTTAGAACTTCAACATAGGATTTGCGGAGGGCAAGGGTGTTGGACACAATTTAGCCCATAACGGGCTGCAGACTTTTTAATTGATCCTACACAGGGGCTATTCACAAACACACAGGCATTACCCATTCCCACTGACCTGGGCAAGTTGCTTCATTTCTCGTGCCTCAGTCGCCTAATCTGTAAAATGGCGACACCTGGAGGGATTTGCCTCCTAGGAGTCAAGGAACTGTGTTTATAAAGAGCAGAAGGGGTACCCCGCACTTCTGACTTTCTCAGCACACACGGGCAAAGATCTTTATCCTGCGTCATTCTCCAGAAGCCGTGCCCTCTGCTACCCCTCAGAGTGGGGCTGGCACTTTCCCTCTATGCTCCCTCTGTGGGTAATTGCATGAACCAATGAAGGAGCACATCGCAGGAGGCAGAGGAAGTGAGAATGTGCAGGGCTGTGCTTGGACTCCACTGGGCTCTGGGATAGAAGTGAGGCAGCAGGGAAAGGAGAGGAAAGGGGCTTGCTGGGGTGTCTGGAAGCCACTCTGACCAGCTCTGTCTGTCCCTCCAGCTCCATGCTAGCCTGATTATGAGCCAGGACCCCTACAAAGTGACCACTTTTGAGAAGCGCTACGCAGTGGCTATGCAGTGGCTGTGGAGGGACACCGGCATCCAGGCCTGCTATGAGCGCCGCCGCGAGTTCCACCTGCTTGACTCAGCGGTGTAGTGAGTCTGGAGTCGGCAGGCGGTGGGCGTGGGGGGTGGGGCGGGAGCAGGGGGCAAGGTGGCCACCGGGCTGAGCTGCAGGCTGAGACACGGCGAACAGAGACCCAGTTCCAGGATCACACCTGGACAGAGGGGGCCTTGGGCTGGCGGGCTCCCACTGTGGGGACATGCTGTCGGGCGTGGGCTGGCTGTGGGATAGTCATGCTCCAGGGTGATCTTGTCCCTGGGGTGACATTATTCCTGCGATAAGGTTGCTCCTGGGGTGATGTCCCTAGGGTGAGGTTGTTCCTGGAATGACATTGTCCTTGGGTGACATTGTTCCTGGGTTGACCCTGTTCTTGGGGTGATGTCATTCCTGGGGTGACATAGCTCCTGGGTTGATGCCACCCTGGTGACACCATTTCTGGGGTGACGCTGCTCATCATCACACAGTAATGCTGTCCTGGGCATGGTACTTAGTGTCTAGGGTGATTTGCTCCCAGGCCGTCACTATTTCAGGGTGCACTGCCCTCCTAGGTGACAGCGCCCCCTCAAGGTGATGCTCCTTCTCTGTGAGGCTGTTCTTGAGGTCACACTGTCATTGGGGTCACACTGCTCTGAGGATAAAGCTGACTCACCCCAAATCTCTCACGGCCTCAGGGTGGTACTCTGGGCCACCTGCAGACCCCAGAGATCCTGGCCCCTCCAGGGGGGTTCTCCTCCCCCAGCAGACCATGGATGGTGGGTTTGAGAAGCCAAGGGAGGCTGTAGGGCTGGGCTCAGGACTCCTCGCTCCTTAGCTACTTGTCGCACCTGGACCGCATCACTGAGGAGGGCTATGTCCCCACGGCCCAGGACGTGCTTCGCAGCCGTATGCCTACCACCGGCATCAATGAGTACTGCTTTTCCGTGCAGAAAACCAACCTGCGGTGAGTGTGCAGCCTCCACGGTGGGGAGTACTTTCTGGAAGAGGGGCAACGCATCTGGGGCCTTGAGAGATGAATAGGAGTCTCCTGGGTCCAGCCCTCAAGGGGCTTCCAGGCTGAAGGAGGCAAAGCTGGACATAGACACCTCCAGCACCCTGTGCAGTTAGAACTGGGATATCGAAGAGCCCAGAGTGAAGCACCAGAACTCCAGGAGGGGCGGTCTTCCTGGAGGAGGGGACATTGGTATTACGACATTGAAGGATGAGTAGGAATTCACTGGTGCCGACTCTTGAGGAGCTTCTGCGCAGGAGGAGACAGAGACTGTGTGGTCAGGGCTATGCCAGAGGGATGGGATTTGGGGCTGGGGAAGTTCAGAGAGTGATCCCTGTAGTCAATGAGGGGGTGAGACCAGAGGTCAGGAGAGTCAGGAGGAGGCAGGAGCCATGGTCTGAGCAGGAAGGATTGATAGGGGCCAGGGTAGTGACCATGGGGATAGAAATGAGGGTATGGTGCAAGAAATGTTTCTGATGTAGAATGGGCAGGATTGGATGAGTGTGAGAATGAGAGCAGGCAGTCAAGAATGACTCCCAGGTTTCCCAGGTAGATTGTGGGTCCACCATGGCGGTGGTAAGGTGGGGGGGGGCGGGAGGGGGGTGTTTAGATAAGACAATGAAGTTCTTGGAAACATTGAGTCCGAGGGGTCTGGGGCATCTGGGAGGTGGCTGGATGTACACAGGCATGAGCTAGAAGACAGAGGTGTGGGTGGCCAGTGCAGCAAGGCAGTGTCCAGGCAGACTGATGGGCAGTGTCAAAGGCCAAGAAGAGGTCAGGAAGAACACAGTAAGAGAAGTGACTTTGCGACTGTCAGTTAGACAGTCATTGGTGACCTTAGTAAGCTCCGTATCTGTGGGTTGATGGCAGGCAGTTGTGGAGGGTGCAGGATGATGCCTGGAAACGGGTTGTGTTTAACCCACCCATGTTGAGTTTCTCACTTCCCTGGACTGACCCACCCCAGTCCCAAACATGTTTTTCTGGCCTCTACAATAGTCCTTTCCAGGAAGGTTCATAATTTATCTGTTTGCCATGGGTCTCCTGCATTAGATGGAGAGCCCCACAAGGCTAGGGGCTGAGTTTGAGGCACGTGTTTCAAAGCGATGATCAGATCAAGGCCAGGGTGGAAGGTGGTAAATGTGGGAGGATAGCTGGAAAGATGGGAGGATGCATGGGTGGGTGAAAGGATGGATGAGTGAATGGATGGGTGGATTGGTGGGTGGGTGGGTAAATGGATGAATGAAAAGATGGGAGGATGCATGGGTGGCTGAAAGGATGGATGGATGGATGGATGGATGGATGGATGGATGGATGGATGGATGGATAGGTGATTAGACAGATGGATCAATGGATGGAAGGATGGGTGGATCAGTGGATGTATAGGTATGTGGGTGGATGGATGGATGAAAGTTTAAGAATGAAGATAGAGGTTGGGACTTTCACAGGGAAGGCTGGGCTGGGGAGGGGAATTTTAGGTGGGAGACTTGAGTATGTTCTTAGGCCAAGGAGAGAGGTTAATCAGTGGAGTGAGGGCTCAGAGGAAACTGAGACTCTGAGATGGGAGGCTGGCAAGTAGTGTATCCCACCTCTGCCTCAGTCTCCAGAGTCCCACTCTCAACCACTGCAGCCACATCCCACTCTAGATATGGGGGTTTGAGTTCTTGGGGACCAGGAGCCACGGCGCCAGCCTCTTTCCCCTCCCGTATTGTGGGGCAAGTCCCTTCTTGCTCTGAGGCTTCTGGCATTTCCTGCCGGCTGCCTGAGTAATGGTTGTATCCCTGGGGCTTGTTTATCAGTGACCCACATTTCTTAGAAGAGAGCACAGGAAGGCGGGAGGGCTCAGGCTTTTTTTGTGGTGTATGGGGGTGGAGTCAGGGCTCTTGTCATGGGCCACACACAGAGTGGATGGCATTTGCCCATTTGTGTGGCCACTGGACACTCCCCTGGTCAGCCAGAACACAGCTTCCCCATTTTACTGATGGGTAAACTGAGTTGCGGAGATGGTCTGCAATTTCCCCCAGGCCACCCAGCCAGAACTAGGGCAGACTCCAGAGGTGTCTGACCTACTGTCCTCCTCCATGGCGGTAGAAATCAGGCAGCCCAGTACAGTAGAAGCTCGGGAAAATCCCCTCTCCGTACCCCAGTTTCTTCATCTGTATAACATGCGTAATAAAGATAACCTGCCCCGTGAAGGTGAAATGCAATAACACACAAGAGGCATGGGCCCAGTGACTGGCCCCATTTTTGCTGTTAGTCATATTGATGTCATGTCCCAGACATGACTGGGGTCTGGGATGCCACGTCATGGGGTCCTGATTAGGTCTGAGCTCTGAAAGGGGGCAATTCTGGTAGGATCGTGGATGTCGGGGGCCAGAGGTCAGAACGAAAGAAGTGGATCCACTGCTTCGAGAATGTGATCGCTCTCATCTACCTGGCCTCGCTAAGCGAGTATGACCAGTGCCTGGAGGAGAACAACCAAGAGGTGAGGGGCCACCGTGGATGCAGGGGCTCCATCTCCTCTGCTCTTCTCTCTCCATTGGCCCAGGGACCCACAGCTGGATAGGAAGTCCCAGTGCGACTCTTGAGAGGGCCTGAGTTTGTCTGGCATGGCTTTGAGCCTCTCCTTTCACTCTTTCATGATCACACCATTGAGACCCAAGACTCAGATCCACAAACATTGTGTTGCCAGTGGCACACACATGTGTACACACACAGAGGGACACTCGTGTCCTGAGACACAGCCCCCTGGAAGCACAACGCAAGCTGTCCTGGGACTATTGTCACCCTGCAAGGATGACGTCACATTTTTATTCAGAAATGCTGGTGAGAATCAATCTTCTTTTGTGACCTCTTCTCCTAATTAACACCCAGCGTGAAGGTCGGGCACACTATCATCTCTGACATGTGCACTTTTAGTTGTTAAAGTTTCACATAGACATTTTGGGTATCTGGCGGGAGATGTTATCATTTTGACTTTCAGACTGAATCAGACAGAAGAGTTTGAGGTCATTCTGACACAGCTCTTTCTCGAATCCAGCCACATAAAATGTCTTAGTTTGCTCAAGCAGCCGTAACAAATGACCACAAATTTAGGGGCTGAGACAACCGAAATTTATTCTCTTCTGGTTCTGGAGGCCAGAAGTCTGAGATCAAGGTGTCGTCAGGGCTGGTTCCTTCTGAGGCCGTGAGGGAGAATCTGTTTCATGCTCTCCCAACTTCTGGTTACTCTGGCAATCCATGTCATTCCTTGGCTTGTAGATACATCACCCCATCTCTGCCTCCATCTTCACATGGTGTCCCCCCTGTCTGCATGTCTGTTGCCTAATTTCCCATTTTTATAAAGACACCAGTTATTGGGCTTAACGCCACCCAACTCCAGTATGACCTCTTCTTTACTAACTACATCTTCAAAGACTTTATTTCCAAATAAGGTCACATTCTGAAGTTCCAGGTGGACATGAATTTGGGGAGGGGGGGACACTAGTCAAACCAGTAGAGGAACAAAAACCATGTCAGGCACACACAGGCAGCTGGCCATACCCGCTTAGACCCAGATGGGCAGGAAGGGGAGTGCCCCAAGCCACTGGATGGTGGGCCGACAGCCCCATCTCCTTGTTGGGGGATGGCTCCTCTGTTGGGCTGAGCTGGCTGGCTGGAGCAATGACCTGCCTGTGTCCCTCGACCCAGAACCGAATGAAGGAGAGCCTGGCCTTGTTTGGCACCATCCTGGAACTGCCCTGGTTCAAAAGCACATCTGTCATCCTCTTCCTCAACAAAACTGACATCCTGGAGGAGAAGATCCCCACCTCCCACCTGGCTACCTACTTCCCCAGTTTCCAGGGTGAGTGTTTTAGAACTTTCTATACCCTTCACATCTTAAAAGCAGCTCCCAAGAGACATTCTTGTCCAACTTGGAGTCAGTGGAATTTCAAATATGATTGGACAGCCCTGAGTTCCAGACCCAGAGTCCATTGTCCAACCTCTCTCTGTTCTCAGTTTCTCCATCTTTAGAACCGGAATAGAATAGCAGATGCCTTCATACTCGCAATTGCTTAAAGTGAGGGATCCTGAAAAGACGTATACTATAGATCTTTTGAGTATGGCTCTGCTCGAGAGAGTTCATTGTCATAAACCATACCTGTAAGGCATTGACAACTATTTCCAGAACCTGCTTAGATTTTTGAAACTTTTCTTATTCTAATCTTTCATAGTTGATAGTGATTTTTAAAATAATCCATTACCTTTGAACAAGGCTTTCCAAAGCACATGGCTCAGTTTCACAGATACAACAACCCTCTTTCATGTTGCATTTGTAACTGATAGATTTGTGTAGTCTCATGTGTATATTAATCAAGAGGTGTACAACAGGTTTGGGAACAAGCCTTCGGTGCAACACAAGGGCCAACTAGTTCAGAAAGTGTTGGGCATCATTTAGTGTATCTTCCAGAGGGGACACAGAGCTTTGGTCCTGGGAAGGGGTGTATTAGCTAGGACTTTCCCCAGAGTGCTACTGTGAGAATAAAGGGAGCTTCTAGAAGTATCCCAGATGAGTAACAAACTCCCCCCAAAGTTAGGGGCTGTAGACCAGCCATTTTACTTAGCTCACAATTGTGTGGGTCAGGAATTTGGAAAGGATTGAAGTGGGTAAGTTCATCTGCCATCCATGTGGCATCAGCTGGGGTGACTGGGATCAGAGATACACTTCCGAGATGGCTTCTTGCATCATGTACCTGGTGTCTCTGTGCTCCTCGGCCCCTCTCTTCTTCCTCCTCCTTCTACTCCTCCTTCTTTTCTCCCTCTCGCCCTCTCCCTCTTCCTCTCCCTCTTTCTCTCCCTCTCCCTCTCTCCCTTTCCCCATCTAGTATCTCTTAATCCAGGGCTTGCTCATAGCATGGCTGTCTCAAGGTGGTCGGATTTCAGCCAACCTCTGCCTCCATCGTCACATAGCCTTCTCTCTGTCTCTGGCTGTTTCCCCTCTTTTTGTAAGGACACAAGTCATTGAATTTAGGGCCCAACCTAATTAATTCAGTAATGACCTCAGTTCAACTTGACTCATTATACCTGCAAAGATCCTATTTCCAAATAAGGTCATATTCTGAGGTTCTGAGTTGACATGAATTTTGGGGGACACTATTTACCCCAATACACAATCAATCACAGTAGATGAAGCCCTTAGTACATGCTTGACAAGTACTAAGCTGTGGTGACATCATCATGGGTGTGACTCCCTGACCTCATTGGAGCCCATGTGACCAATCTCAGTCAATCATAACCACAAGAGTCAGGGTCTGGGCAACAGATGTCAATTTGTTTCAGAATGGGGGCCTGGACACCCCTCACCCCCTTCTGAGCTGAGCAGCCCTGGGAGAGGAGCATGGCTCGGGGAGTTTGGGAACAAGGATAAAGTGGATAGTTTTGAGGATTGTTTGCTTTCCTTCAGGTCAAAGAGAACCCTCATGATCTATCCTTTTTTCCCAGCCAAAGAGCTGGAGCACTCTGTGCCAAATTCTGGCTCTTGGCCCTTTCCTCCTCTACACTAAATAATACTCATGGCAATAATAATAATAATAATAATAATAATAATAATAATAATAATAACGACTAACACATGTAACACTGATGGAAGCACCCTCATATGTTGACTTCTTTAATCCTCATTTACAAACTCTGTGCAGTAGGACTCATTCTTCTCACCACCCTAGAGATGGGGAAACTGAGGTACAGAGAGGTGCAGTCACTTGCTAAAAGTCACAGCCAGTGAGTGGCAGAGGCAGGATTCCAACCCAGGCATTCTGGATTCAGAGCTGGCAGGCTTGAACCATGAAGTTAGCCTGCCTTTCTAAAAGAATGATGCTAGCACACACTCAGGAAGGCTTCTGGTTATTGATCACAGAGCCCTTGATAGGATTACATTGAATCCTCACAACTTTGGGAGGCCTGGGACTATTCTGATCCCCATTTTACAAACAAGGAAACTGAGCCCACAGAGGTTACATAAGGCAGTCCAACTAGTAAGTAGCAGAGCCAGGCATTGGGCCCTTAACTCACTCTGTGCTTTCAACACAGCAGTCCATGTGCCTCACCAAGGTGGCCATCTGTCTACTTCTCTTCACCTCCATTTCCCCATCTGCACCAGATTGTTGCTGCAGCGCCAGGCTCCCATCCCCCCAGCTCCAAGCCCAGCTGAGAGAGGGTCTCTCATCAACACAGTTCTGCCCAGAGTCCCAGAGCTGAAGCTCATTGGTCCATCCTGGGTCATGTGACCCCCAGTCTGCTGCTCCCATTGGCTAGGCTTGAGCCATGTGACCAGCAAAAAAAAGACAAAAGATGGCAACTGCCTGCTAGACTGTGGTGGGTGGTCCCTGAGGTCTCTGAAGCCTTAAGTTGCTCATATCCGGAAGAGAGTCTCTAGAGTACCCCCTTGGTCCGAGGAGGGAGGGTCACCCGCCTACCACAGGAGCCTCATGCCTTGATTGCCCCAACCCCTGCTCCCCAGGCCCGAAGCAGGATGCGGAAGCAGCCAAGAATTTCATCCTGGACATGTACACACGCATGTACGTAGGCTGTGTGGATGGCGCCGACGGGGGCAAGAAGGGCTCGCGTTCCCGGCGCCTCTTCAGCCACTACACGTGCGCCACGGACACACAGAACATCCGCAAGGTCTTCAAGGATGTGCGGGACTCGGTGCTGGCCCGCTATCTGGACGAGATCAATCTGCTGTGACCCAGACCCCAACCAGCCACCCCCAGGGCTCGGACCTGTGCGTGGCAGGCAAGACCTTGCGGGCGGGGCCGGCTCTCAGCGAACCCAGATGCCCCTTGTCGTTCCAGGCCCAGGTGACGGAAGGGCCACGAGTGAGTCGGGAATGGAAGGCCAGTCGCCACCCCTCCCTTCTCTGCCCCTTGCCGGACAGCCCCTGGGGTTCCCCTCCTTTGACTCAGTTTACCTCTTCAGAAAGGGAGCATAATGGCCATTTGGGATGCCAGGATGGAGGAAAAGGTGAAGAGAGCAGAGGATGTAGGACTTGGGTGGGTGAAGCCCTCTCAGGATCCCCACCTCCGGGTACGTCCCCTGCAGGGCAGCAGTCTAAACGCCCTGGAGGTGATACCCCCAGGGATGGGGGACCGGTCTTTCAGGCTGAGGCACCAGACTCTGGCGCCCCCTGGCGAACAGGAGATGGTATCTCCCAACCTGAGGTCTCGGTAGCTCAGAGATTTCCCTTTTCTTTGGGGGAAGAGACCCCTGGAAAACGGTGTCTCTTTCAGAGCCTCGCTGTTCACAGTGTGTCCTGTTCTGGTTTGCAGACGATGGAAACCGAGGTCCATAGGCATCCTCTTCCTTCCTAGGCTGGGGGCCGGGCGCACTGTATCTTAGAACCTGTATTTATTCCCTCATCTTCTGCGGGGTCCGTTGCAGGGTGGACATTAAAGAAATGACATTCTGGAGACTTATGATTTATTAGGGGTGTCCTGTTTATCCCCCTGCAGTCCCTTCTCAGGTCGCCTTTGAGGTAGAAATATGGAGAAGGAAAGAAGAAAGTTCTACTGGCTGTCCACCCACCTGTGCAGGGCACGGTGCCCAGAGCTATTCGGGGAGGTGTGCACTTCGAACAGAAGGTGGTGTACAACCTCCTTCCCTGGCAGGGGTCACATTTTAGCCCACCCTCTGTTGCTACTGACCCAAAAATTCCAGCAGCAGCCCCCACCCATCTGTGATGAAGATGAAGATGATAGCTCCACTTACTGCAGATGGTGTCCCACCATCCTCAGGGAAGCCCTATGTATCACAAGCCTCAGTTTACAGATGAGGAAACTGAGGCACAGAGAAACAGTCATTTGACTAAGGTAACACACCTGGGAGGTGGCAGAGTCAAGATTCTATCACTCATTCAACACCTTTTTTTTTTTTAACTTAAAAAAACTACTTTTTAGAATAGTCTCAGATTTACAGAAAAATTGTGAAGGTAGTACAGAGTTGCCTTATAAAACTACACCCAGGGCCGGCCAAGTGGCGCATTGGTTAAGAACTGGCTTGGGACGCCAGAGGCCCCGGTTCCGATCCCACATATAAGGGCCAGTGACACTGCCCTCTACAGCTAAGATGCTGAACAGGTGGAGCTGGGCTGCCGTGGGTCGCTGGCGATGGCGTAGGCTGCAGCCCCTGTGGCAGTGGGTTGCCATGGGCTACTGTATATAGTCAGCAGCCAGCGTGAGCGGCCGTCCAGAAGCCGGCGACTGATCTGCCTCGCCCAGGAAGAGCACAATGATGGTGCCAACTTGGGTCAGTGAAGCAACGTCCTCCACAATTAGAATGAAGAACAAAAGGACAGCAACTTGTCTGTTCCCCTCCCCCAATTCCCCAGCACTGTTCCCATCCCCCCAATTCCCCAATAAAAATCTT